CTTTCCTCAGATGGTCCACACGTCTGTAGTTTCCATTTTCCTGAGGTCTTTTTCCTCTTTCAGCTTCACTCCCACAGCTTCACATACTGCCTTCTCCAGGACACTGTCTGGCCTCCCAAGCTTTCTTCTGAAATCTGTGTGGAAATTTCCCTGAACCTATAATGGTTGCAGTCTTCATTAGTGTAAAACCAGCACCTCACGGATGACACCAGTGTCTGCTGCCAGCTAAAGCAGTGTTTTTGTCTTGCACCTTGGTCTTCAGAATGCCTGGATAGTAAATTGAATACCTGGGAATCAGTTCCTTAGGTGGCCCTTATACAGAGTGCTTTGCCTTGTTAGTTGCTCACATGCCCTTAAGCCGCTTTTCCTATAGTCTTGTTCAAAAGTAGTTGTCTTCTTCTTAATGCGAATCTTTTCAGCAACCAAGCTTTCTTTTGGTCCAGGTTTGTAGGCCTCCAACTTTATCTGAACTTCTTTTCTGGCCAAACTTGAAACAAAATCATTCACCTGTGCCATTTGCTTTTGATTCTCAATGTAGAGCAGACTAAAAGCCCCTAACAGCAGCCATGCCACTTCCTGAATGTTCAGCTACCTCGACATTTCCTCAGACAGATTAATTAGTCCACTGCTCTTAATCTTAGTCTCCTGAAAAGTGTCAGGGCAGGAGCAAAACATAGACAATGTTTTTTTTTTGTTTTTTGGTTTTTGGTTTTTTTTCCAGAGCATAACACACAGGGCCTAGAACCTATTCCCAACTTAAACCTCCTGAGCTGGAGTCCTTATTCCCAAATGAAACCTCCTGAGCTGGTCTTTTCCTTCTGCTTTCTTAAAATCAGCATTCTTGTCTTCTGAGCTGTGACCAGAATCTTACCAAGCTCGGCTCAAAGCATTCTAGGCCTGCTTCTCCAGCTGACATCTCCAAATCATTCCAGATTCCTCCTGCAAGCCAGTTCTAAAGGTTATGAACCACAGTTTCAAAGGCTTTGGGGAAACTTCTAGGTGTAAATCATAATACCTTACGACAAATTAATACAAAAGGAAATTAGAACATTTTTGTGTATCTTTAATTTTGATGGAGTAATAGTTTTATTGAGATAAATGTTTTTAAATGCATTCTTTTTTATGCCTTTTAGTGACAAAGATTTTCCTCTAAAGTCATTTTAAGCATGTTTGATCACTTATAGGAATTAATTTTAAGAACTGGATTCTATTTTATTGTAACAATCTGACCAAGTTTTAGGTTTTTGTATTAAAAACAGTTATTTCTATGAAATAAGTAAATAAAATATATTTGTGAGAACAGTGCTTATGTTATTCTACCCTCATTTTACTTTAGAGAATGGGGTCTGGGACAGGCTTCCAGCTTGTACATGATGAATAAAACTTTGGATGTTGCACGTAGTAGTGTGGAGAAAATTGGTAAGGTTAATAAAGGTTAAAAGGTAGAGTTAATCTCAGAGCAAGGGGGTTCATGCCTGTGGAAAGGAAAACAGCACTGTTGTAGCTTATATCTAGATGTCTTATGTGGTCATAGGTTGGCCTTTTCAGAAGTGGGTGAATCTAGAGTGTGTAATGCCAGGATTAATGGTATGTGATTACTAAATTAGTCCATTAATTGGTTTGGCATAGTTTTGAGTATGAATAATGGGAAAGCCCACTAGGTGTGAGTGCTACATACTCTAAGAATGCCTAGCCTGGATTGAATGTAAAGGAAACAAAGAGGGCTGCTGTTGTTGCTTGCTGCTTTCTGCTTTTGTTGTCTTCTGTCTGCCATGAACTGTTTGTCCTTTGTGATACCCCTCTTCCATGACACCCTGCCTTGGGGCCAGCAAATTACAGACTGAAACCTCTACAAACTGTGAGCCTTTAACTTTGGGTGTTGAATGTTCTATCTCAGCAATGAGAAAACTCAGACAGATTTTCATACCAGAAGTAGGATCGTTGCTGTGACTACCTGACCTTGTGGTTCAAGAGCCTTTGGAACTAGCTTGCAGAAAGAGTTTGGAAAGGTTTAGAGATGCTGGCTTAAGAAGCAGCCCTGAAATGCCTTAAACTGTTCTTGATGGGAGATTCTGATCAGAGCTCAGAGAACCCAAATGCTGATAGAAATCCTGCCAGTAAAAGCCAGGTCCAGGAAGCTTCTGCTGGTGAGGACTGAGCTGACTGTTGGACTCCAGACAATGTATGCTATGTAAAGTTTTTCTGTGTTTTGCTCCTGTCCAGAGATTTTTTTGTTTGAAGCTGAGTTTAAGGGCAACTGACTAATTAATCTTGCAAAAGAAATTTCAAGGCAGTCTAATGTTGAGGCGGTAGCATGGCTACTATTGAGGGCTTTTAGTCAGATCTATGTTGAAAGTAAAGAGCAAAGAGCTCAGAAAAATGACTTAAATGTGAATTTGTCCAGAAAGAAAGCTCTAGTAAAGTGGTAGACTACAAAGGTAGAGCAGAGAACTTGGTTGCTGAGAAGGAACAAGATAATGGAAAAGATGGCCTGAGGACATCACAAGAAACAAGAGGGCTCCAGCCTTCTCAGCCTTAAGGTTGCAAAGGTGAAAGAATTTGCTTTGAGAAGGAAGCTCCAGACTACCATATTACAGAAGGCTGAAGCCTAGAGAATTTGTTCATCAGGATTGGGTTCATAGTGCTCAGCAATACAGGTACTTGACCCTTATACCCAAGAGAAGGAAGCCTGGCTACTGCTCCAGTTGGTAGGAGACTTTGGCTTCATTCACATGGTGTTGGTTTTAGGTTCATGCAGAATGCAAGGACTGTGGAATCAGGAAGGCTTCCACCCAGATTTCAGAAGAAGACCCGGGAGGCCAGGCAGTGTGCTCCTGAAAATGAAATTTGTGAAGCTGTGTGAAGCTGACTGTACAGTGGAGGCTCCAGAAAGTTGGAGAACTCAGGAACATGGGCCATCTCAGGAAAGCTGCAAGGAGTGAGCAAAACTGGCCCAAGAGAGCTGTGGGAGCTACAAGCATTTGCATTACCAAAAGGATGGATCCACCCAGGCTCTTTGTTTTTTGTTTTTTGGTTTTTTTTAATTTTATTTTAAATTGAATTTATTGATACATTCTAGGTAAAAAGTACAGTGACATTCAGTACTGGGATCTTGTACCTTTATATGCCAGGTCATGGTTCTCATTTTTTCCCCTTGTCCCCACCCTCC